TCCCGAGAAGCAGGTATATGTGTGGATGGCGGTATTTGTACTTCCGTTTAATTCCTCTGTGAATCCTATACTGTATACACTTGCTACTCCTCAGATGCGGGATTGGTTCTGTAAAGATTCTAAAAGTAAAGGTAAGTCATTGTTAAAGCTAGTCATCGTCAGCAAAAGCGATAAGTTCATCTTCTATTGCCATATTTTCCTCCTAAAACTTGAACGCGAGTCTCTTTTTTACAAAAATACCCTGAAATGTTGCTCAAACAAACTTTAAAATCTCGTTAAATTTTCTTTCCTGATCAGAGGATGGAAATAGAGGCATTCGCCCTGTGGGTAAATCAGCTGCTTTTTCCACAACACCTGCCAGCAATCCTACTACAGGAATAACAACGATTGAACTCAGTGTGCCTTCACTGAAATCCGTCGCCAATCTGGAACGTAGTGGGTATGTCAATAAGGTAAGTGGCCAGGGAAAATTTACAATCTCTCAATTCACATCTGTAGAAGGGGCGGATGAATGATTTGAAAAGATCGGAACGTCCACATACCGCGTTGGGTAAGAGGTTAAAGGTGTATAATTCATGTAATCACCTGTTTTGTCACTCAAAGTTTACTCTTACTCGTCATTGTATCAGATTTGAAAATAAGATATTCAGGGTAATCCTCTTTTGGTTTGCCCAGGGAGACACTTTGCCGTAATGGGTAGCCGCACGCCGTAAGAACTTTCTAAAATTGCAGTCTCTTTAACTAGCGAAAATGTGAGCGTACTTCTACTACCTTCTTTATGTTAGCCTTAGCAATACGTCCGGCAGTACCTTATTCTAAGTAACAATGAGCCATTAAAGATAAAGGTGTAAATGGAATGAAAATTTTTTATAAGATGAGCTTATGTGCAAATTTTTTTTCTTCTAGGGTTTTCAAGACGATACTTCGCAGCCAGAGAGAAGCAACAGTTTTGCTTCGGTGGAAAGTGGCTCTTTAGAAGATAACTCGAGTGCTACTTACGACACTCGCCTCTGAAGCATTAGGCTTCCTTTCCTCACAATGATCGTGATAATCGATTGTGTTCAGTAGATCTTATGCATAATTACGTTATATACTGAAAACTCAGCGCCAGTCCTCGTATGCAGTAATATTCTAATCAATCTTTGCCGCTTTCTTGTTGTTTCTGGGTGAGTATTCTATTCATCTCAGTGTGTTGGGAATACTTTCTGATTAAAATTCACCATTCCATATCTTGAAAGTGAGGTTTCGGGGTGAAACTGGGTAATCCGACCGGTGTAAACATGCATGAGGCCTATTAGATGGTGTAAGTGTATGAAAATAAGAGAAAGCGACATGGTCATGAGTAACTGACTTATTACTGAGTTTGTCATTGCCGTGGTTTGTTTTGTTTATGTACACCAATTATAGTTGGATTCAACTCACTTACATTATCATGGCATAGAATATCAGTTTCCACACTTCTCGAGCCTGAATTGCGTAAAGTAGCTGTCTCTTTGAACTCTTTGTCGATGGAACTCGGAAATGGAGTTTCGTTTTGATAAACTAGATAGAAGACAACTGAGTAACCCAGAGAATGAGAAAGATGAGAAATTTTGAGCTTGATAATGCAATAAATAAAGATGTTGTTCGTTTTTCACGAGCATGAAACAAAGAACAAATCTAAGTTGCAAATAGGAGAATCTTTGGACGGTTGTCACATATGAACCCGGTAATGGCCTAATTGACAATTGAGTTGTCTATTGTAGTCCAGTGCTCATCGGAGCGCGGAATGCGAAGTTCTTGAGACTCAGAATGCTTCCTTCTTTCACTTCCATGACAAGCCTAATAATATCTTTTTTTATCTAAATAACTTTCAGTTTACAAAAGTCATGATTTTTTTCTGTTATTAGCTGAGTTAGTGGAAAATTCTCTAAAGGGCAGGACACTGATTCAATTACTACTGTGTTAAATGGTACTTTGTACTTTGTTGCTCCTGTTGTAGCCTCGAGTGGTCTTTTTGGATATTGAATAAAAGCATGCACTCACGAAGTGTCATAAATGTTTTGTCTAAAATAGAGACTCTCTCCAGATAGTAAAACTAAGTTTGAACAAAGATCGCATTAAAAGTTACTAGGAGATGTAATTAACCCTGAGAGGGCCTGCTGCCAGTAACTGAGGTTTTGAAAACCTAAACGGAAGTCCTCGTTCGTTTGAATCAAGCGATGATTTGTCTAGCAGGAGAGTGTCATGAATCTGGGCGTGTATAAAGATTAGTAGGTTTTTTACTCAGGTAGCGTCAGTCTGTCGTGATTGGTCAGTTTCGCGTGGTCGTTAGAGTTAGGTTGTCCTGGTCAATGTCGTAAATAAATAATTTCTAGGACGCCAATGAAGGCTGATCTTAGTTCAGCTGTCGAAACATTAGTCAATACCAATGAAAACAGACTTTTCCCGGTCTACTCTCTGGATCCACGATCATACTCTTGTCTCTTTGTATTCCGCTACCATCTTGTGGGTTGTACAGCTCATTGCAGCCCACTGCTCGCGTCATCGTTTACATCCTTCATACAGGGATTTTCTTTTCTTTCTTTTTTTTCAATAAAAGTGAGCGTTGGACCGTACGGATAATGTAATATAATAAAATTCTTTACCAATTCACAGTACTCCCAAGTATCGCCCTTTGGACATCGACACCCGAACTTTCCCCTGTGATTGTCACACTTCGCCACTTTCTCGCATGGGTTAGTAGCCACTCTACAACCGCTGTGAAAAACGAGAGAAAGAATGTATGATTTGGACTTAGACGAAAGGTTAGCGTATAGACTCTTGACCAAACTGTGGAGATCTGAAATCTAGCCGTGGGCGTCTTATTTGTGTTAAAACAATGAGCAAAGCATCTTCAGCAAAGCATCTAGATCAGATTACGGAAAACTTCAAGAAAAAAGGGAATTCAGATGCGGCGGACTATCTCTCGCCGAGAAAGAAGAAATACTCTTTGTGGCCTTTCCCTACAGAAAACAAGGTTAACGTCAGCAGTAAAAGCCATTTGATCTGTAATGGATTGTGTTACTCTTTTATCCATTTAAATTAAGAATTATCTTAGACAATCATGATCAGTTTTGGAGCACGTTCATCTATTTAATCTATGAATCTTGTTTTCTGAAGATCTAAGTGTCCCTATGCATATCGTAATAAGCGCCAACTATTTGATTCCAGGTTGTCGAGAGAGTTTGCAATAAAAAAAAAAAAAATGCTTGACTGATGGTTGACTTTCTGGACAACCTCGTATAAGTATATTAAACTGGAGTGGGTTGTTAGCCATGGTAGTGATGTTTATTTATAAATGATTGAAAATTAAATTATAACTGATGTGGGCATGTTTACGACAATAATGTTGAAATGTCGCCTTAATATTTAAACAGTACACAAATAATAAATTTCGATACGTCCTGATACTTAAAAATATTAAGTATTAAAGTATTTATTATTAGCTATTTAAATATAGATAACGAGTAATAATGACGAATAATGAGCCTTTCCGCTTTCCTAGCAACAGGCTTCTAGCTAAGTTTCTCCCCCCTTAAATGTGAGCATTTGACGGCAATCTTAGCCGTAATGAATGATTTGCTTAGCAACTTACATCAAATTCAGAGGAGAAGTATACTTAGGAAACCAACTCACTCCTCCAATAACTTTCAGTTGGTGGTAAACCGCTTGCTCGTATGATTTCTCAGAATAATCCTTTTAGCAAAGGGGAAAAGCATATAAAAAGGTTGTTCTTTCAAAATGGAAAAGGAGAAAAATCATCCGAAAAAATATCCTCGTCGAGAAAACATTTTCCCCTTGCTATAGAAAGTCATTGTCATGTTACAAGCCTACAGAGCTGGCTTAAAAACAAACAATTAAAATTAACAGAAACAAACAGACAAAAACAAAGCTTTAAGACAGACATTAAAGTTGTTCTTAAAAGGTTTTTATTCTCTCAGAAGTTTATTTGTCACGCTTTATACCATGTCATAACTGATTTAAAAGTTAACATAGATATTTATTTTAAACCTACGGCTATATTAGACCCATGCATAGTCTGCTTTTTATACAATTAATCGACTAGGAATATCACTACTTCCCTTTGGATCGGATAGCTTTATTTTGTAATGTACAGCCAACTTCTATTCGGGTCTTTCCGGCATTTGCCTGGCTCTCCTTGTTAAAATACCCCTTGGTGGAAAGATAAACATGAAAGAAGAACGTTTTGCGGGAGACCAGGATTCAATACAACCATTTTTCCACTGTGTCACTGGATCTTTTATTATTGATCCCATATAAAGACAATTTCAAATTATTGCGGGGAAACCTTTGTTTTTGCCGACATTCAATTGAACACAAACCTCCGTCAATGATAACTGCAAAACACATTCTGAAACTTTTTTCTGAGATGATACAGTATCATCAGGGATATAATAGTCACCTTTTTGATACCTTGTGCTGACCCTTCGAGAAAACCATCGGCTTTTTACCACTAAGAGATAAAATTACTTATTGGCAATTTTAAAAGATGCCTGACGTTCATTTTCATCTAGGGATTTGAACCTCTTGGACTAGCTAGATCGATCTGGCAGAACTGATCATGGGAAAGTATTAAAGCACTTTATGAAATGCCACCAGTTACTCCGAAAGTAGTTAGTACCCCAACGATTACGGTACAGAATAAATTCACAGCTAACTTCTCTTTGAAAGACTCCAGCTACGAGATCGAAAATTTTTACCCCTAAATTTTTTTTAAAATGAGATTCGTAATGAAAATCAGTTGTACTGTTTGAGAGGAATTTCCACTTTAGAGGAGAACTGATAGCTCTTGATATGTACCTATTTCCAATTGATATCCACAAAGGCCTTCAGCAAAAAGTAAAGATGCTCAAAAGTTGCCAAGGGAAATTTTTTCCATGTACCATTCAGAAGTGCAAGAGGTCTGATCTGCCAGCTATTGAACATAACGTAACTTAATTGAAAACACTTAGAGGAAATAAAAAAATAAGATAGCTATGTCGCCAGTTCTTAATATTATGTATGTTTCAGCCTTGTAAACCAACAAATCTAGCACCACTGTTTTTCACGATCCAAGATATCGCCTCAGAGGTGAGTTTCGAAAGTGGAAACCATGTCTTCACATAAAGAGCCACTTTTTATTGAAACCAATTCATTGCTGCTTTTTGGCTGTAAATCATCGTCCGGAAAACCCTGATGAGGAGAAATTTCATACATCAGCTTATCTTATAAATATTTTTTCTTTTCCTTTACGACTCTTGGTTTAGTAGAACAGCGAACTGACCGACATAGTGCTGAGGTTATTACGAAGAAAGCCAGGCTCAATTTTGTAAGATAAAGAACTATGCTTATTGCGAACTAGCCATTGGGGTACAGCGATTAAAAGTCCGAGAGAGGATTATCCTGACTGTCTTTCACCCAAACCAAATTCAATACCTTAGTAAAAATAAAACTTTGTGCAATATCATGGGAGATAAGGTACCGTATATTCCTTTCACCTCGTCATAAATAGTTCGGTAATTACCAAGCGTTCCACGCTTTTCAAATTATTCATCCACCCTGTCTGTATGAGCAAATTTAAGGGATTAGATATCGTCTCTTTAAAATCTTACCTCATTAATGTTTCCAATATGATCCAGTTCTGTGACGGATTTCAACGAAGGAAAACTGAACTCAGTTTTTTCAGTTTTGAGATTGCTGGCCGGGGTCGCTGATTTATCCACAGAGCGAACTCCTCTATTTCCATTCACTGGGGGAAACAAAATATGATATTCTGAAGTCGCAATATGCAAGGCTATTTGTTGGCTATCATATACCTACCGCAGAGTTTTTAGAAGCAAGTGAAAACGAACTTAACTCTATTGACTATGAATAATAAAACAAGTATAAGGCTCTCACCTTTACTTTTAGAATCTTTACAGAACCAATCCTGCATCTGAGGAGTGGCAAGTGTATACAGTATAGGATTCACAGAAGAATTAAACGGAAGTACAAATACCGCCATCCACACATATACCTGCTTCTCGGGA